GTAGAGCATGTGACTCTTGATCGTGAGTTTGGCAGAGGCTTGGAGGGAGGGTTGCAAAAGCATATGTACCCCTATTTTGTTTATCTGATTTTTTTATTGCCCCCCCCCTTCCCCTTCTCGGAAGCTAGATCACCTCCAACCTCTGGCCTCTACCTGGTTCTTCATTTGGAGGAATCTCCCCCATTTCAGAGCTGTTAAGGGACACTCCCTGCCCATCCCCATCCTTCCTACCACATACACCCAAGGTTGTCAGCTTTAGATCTTTAGGGTCAAGCTCCAAGGAGGGTGTACTAAGGGGTCTGTAGGTTTGTGATTAAAACAATAAATGCTAGGCGTGTTTGATGCGCTTTTAACTTTGGCAAAAAAAAAAAGGAGCAGGGGGAGAGGCAGAGGAAGACAGAGGAGCAGACTGACTCCCCACTGAGCAGGGAGCCTGACTCTGGGTTCAGTCCCAGGACTGATCATGACCTGAGCTGAAGGCAGACGCTTTGCTGACTGAGCCCCCCAGGCACCCCCATGTAATCTTTTTAAGGATACAGTTTGGTGGCATTATGCACATTGTCATGCAGCATCACCACCATCCATCTCCAGATCTTTGTCATCATCCCAAACTGACCCTCTGTCTCCGCTAAACGCTAACTCCCTACCTCCCTTCTTCCCCCAGCGGCTGGGACCCACCACCCTACTTCTGTCTCTGAATTTGCCTGGTGTGGGAACCTCATATAAGTAGAAGCAGGCAAAATTCCTTTTGCATTTGACTTATTTCACTTAGTGTAATGTCTTCCGGGACCATCCATGTGGTAGCAGGTGTCAGTGTTTCTTTCCTTTTGAATGCTGCGTAATATTCCATTCTATCGTAAATACCACCCTGAGTTTATCTGTTTATCCATCGATGGACATTTGAGTTGCTTCTACCCTCTGGCTACTGTGAATAACTGCGAGGAACCTGGGTGTGGAAGGATCTGGTCAAGTCCCTGTGTTCCGTGCTTTGGGGTATCTCCTGAAGACGGAGTTGAGGCCCTTGTTTAGTGCCTCATTGCAGCAACAGTTATCGTGTAGCCCTTTGTGAGGTTCCCAAGAAGCCGGGGCATCCCTGTTTAGGTCACTCACCCCGTATCCCTAGCGCTGAGCACAGCGCACCACACTGAACAAATATGGTAAAATGAGTGAGCCAAAGTTTCTAATCTTTGCAAGTGAGATGTAATGTAGTGTCCTGGCAAATGTGAAGTTTGGGCTCATCTTGGCGCCTGAAGAACATCTCTGGGGCTCCCTCAGAGGTTTGACAAATCTTCCAAGAGTATTGATTTTACTCAGTTATCCCAGGGAAGAATAATAGCAACAACACTTATTGAAAGCTTGCTCTGTGCCCGGACTTGTGCCAATAACTTTGCCTCAATTCTCTCCTTCCATCTTCAAAATAATGCTATGCAGGTCCGCTCTTATCCTGTTTTTTTTTTTTAAAGATTTTATTTATTCATAGAGACAGAGAGAGGCAGAGACACAGGCAGAGGGAGAAGCAGGCTCCATGCAGGGAGCCCGACGTGGGACTCGATGCCGGGACCCCAGGATCACGCCCTGGGCTGAAGGCGATGCTAAACCACTGAGCCACCGGGCTGCCCCCTTGAATGTCTTTTAAAGATAAGTACACAGGACACCAAAGCATATTTCCCTCCTGCCTCGGTGCTCTGTGCCACGCACCTCTGAGCCTATGTGCCCCCAGCTCCTCCTCTGAGGGCCCTGGGGAAGGAGGCTGAGGGTTCCACCCTGGGTGAAGCCCATACGACCTCCTAGGGTCTCCTGCAGTTTCTTTTCTTTTCTTTTTTTTTTTTTAAGATTTTATTTATTAATCTCACACACACACACACACACACACACACACACACACACACACACACAGGCAGAGACACAGGCAGAGGGAGAAGCAGGCTCCATGCAGGGAGCCTGACCTGGGACTCGATCCCCGGTCTCCAGGATCACGCCTTGGGCCGAAGGCGGCGCTAAACCCCTGAGCCACCTGAGCCGCCCCTCTCCTGCAGTTTCTATGCATCTTCTGGAAGATGTGACTGTGTTGCCAGGAGGTGACCTCTGTTCTCCGTTTTGCATGGTAGCATTGAATGAATGTGTGTGCTGTGTGTGGGGCGGGATGGGACACACACCCGCAGGGAGATGCTCCATCTCCCCCGCTGCAGAAACCCTAGCACCAGCCCAGCGGGGACCATCTGCAGGCCTCAGCCCCTGTCTTCCTGGCCAGCCCTCCCACTTAGCTACAGTCTGGGACGAGGGGAGTGTGAAGGGAGGCACGGCTGTGAGTGTGTGCCTTGGGAGGGGACAGCAGAGGAGGCCGAGGACAGGATGGTCAGCCTCTTTCCTCCTGGAGTGAGTGTGTGTGTGGGTGGGGGGTGCAAATGCAAACCCGTGAGGATACAGGACCCTGGCTGCCAAGACAGAGCAGTGCTTAAGGCCCTGCTCAGTCCCTTGTTTGGAACTCTGCAGCTCATTTTCCCACAGAAACAAAGCTCCAGTGGAGGTTGGCTCCCAGCCTGGCCCCAACGAGCCAGATTCAGCTAATAGCAACAGCCTCAGAAGACCCTTCACACTCTCTGCTCTCCATCATTGTGGGTGAGCAGTGGGGGCTTTGGTGGGGGGACTCTGGCGAGGGCTTGGAGACCACAGGCCCTCGGAGCAGCTCTGCCAAGGGCTCTGGTGGCCGTGGGAACTGGGGTGGGGCGGAGGGCGGTTCTTACACTTGTAGGCAACAGTGCTGGGAAGCAGGGTGTGTGTGTGTGTGTGTGTGTGTGTGTGTGTGTGTGTGTGTGTGTGTTAGACATTTCTAAGCACAGGACATACCTAAGCCACGGAACGTGGAGCTGGTATCCTGGACTGGGTGGCCTGGGGCAGCTCATGTCCATGTGCCTCAGTTTCTTCATCTGGAAATTATAGCGGTAGAAGGTTTGGACTAGACTGAGGGTTTTCTAACATTTTTTCTTATAAACGGTTTCTCTTTTTGCGAGCAATCTGGATGAAGCATGTACCATCTGCTCTGAGTAAAGCGTCGGTAGGGGCGGTGATGGGCTGCCCCCCACCACAGCTGGTTGCTACTCCTGCTCTGCCCATCTGCCCTGCTTCAGTGTACCTTCTTGATGCTTGAGATCTTCTCAGAGCATCTCTCACACGTGCTCCCTCCCACTCCAGCATCATTCCAGAGTCACAGCGGAAGTGCAGGGCTGCAGATGACGCTCCAGACTAGAGATAACACTGAAACCTGGAGTCGGGCCCGGACAGCACCTCGCTAGCTGTGCGGCCGAGCCAGTCTCCTGCTCTGAGCAGTAAAGTTGTCAGTGCAGGGATTTGGCATGATGATGCATAAGGTTCCATGAGTTCTGGAAGATGGGCATCATTCTGCAAGTGGCAGGGACTGCTGGCTGCAGCCTTGGCGAGTTGGCCCAAATTCCACCCAGGCAGCACCAGTCCCATGCAGCGGCCCCTCCATCTAGCTCATGTTCCGGGACTGGCCAGGGCCCTGCAGAGTCAGGGCCCCGAGAGTGAGCGAGTGTTCTTTGCAAAGGGAACATGTGGGGTGGGAAGTGAAAGTTGGAGGAGAAAAAGCTGAGCAGGGGGTGTGGTGGTGGCAAGGGCTCTGTGAAAGGTCGGAGGCTTGCAACAGGTGAGGGGGCTCTAGTAACCACCATTGGTCCATGTTTCTGCTGATGACAGGAGCAGCCTTCCCCATTCTGGTGAGCTGGGGACCCTGGCTGCCAAGGAAACCGTGTTGAAAACACAAAGCACCAAGAGCAAAGAGGCCCCACCCGGAAAAACAACATCCTGGCTACTGGGCAAAAGCAGAGCTCCGAAGGAGGGGCTATTTTTAGCTGCTGAGCCAGGGCAGGACTTGTATGGCCTTGCTGTCTGGCTGCATAACTCACCCATTGTCCCGTCTGACCTTGGACTTGTGTCTGAGGAGCCTCTGTCTGTGCCAGTCCGGCGGGCATGGACCTTTTCTAGGGGGCGCCTGGGCCCCAGAGAACCCAGGGAGGAGGGACAGGCCTGGGAACACACTCCTGGTGTGGCCTCCCTGTGCTTGGTGGGCATCCTGGGTTGGGCTGAGGGCTGTGGGGCAGTGGGGGGCCCTGGGCCTTCCTGGGAGAAAAGCAAAGGCTCTACTGGGGTGCAAGCCCGGGTCTCCCCAGAGTAGAGCTGTATTCCAGCTGCAAGGCTGAGTGTGGGGGCACTGAGGGGGATTCTGGAGGAGGACACAGACCCCTTTATTGGAGGCATTCTCACCACCAGCCACATCCTGGGGCCTTCTGGGCCGCAGCCCGCCCCGACTGAGAAGGGGTATGTGTGTGTGTGTGTGTGTGTGTGTGTGTGTGTGTGTATGAAAGCAGCTGTAGCTCTCAAACTTTCTTTCTTCTTTTTTAGATTTTATTTATTTATTCATGAGAGACACACACACACAGAGAGGCAGAGACATAGGCAGAGGGAGAAGCAGGCTCCACTCAGGGAGCCCGACTCAGGACTCGATCCCAGGACCCCAGGATCACGCCCTGGGCCTAAGGCAGGCGCCCAACCGCTGAGCCACCCAGGCATCCCATCTCTCAAACTTTCTAGCCCACACCCAGGAGTGGTGCCCTGCTCCTGGGGGGTATGTGCTCTGCATTTAGCCCTGGGCACAAACCCCAGAAGGCAGGTCTAGAACCGGGCTGTGGCATCAAGGATGAAAATAGCTCATGGGAACGGGCCACGAAACAAACACTCAAGCAGCCGGAAGGACTGGGGGGCTTGGCCCCCTCCGGAGAAGCCACCTCTAGCAGCCCCTGCCCAGAACCAGGAGAAGGGCTGCCCCAAAGGGCAGGCAGCTCTTTTCAGCCCCTCTTCCTGGGCCAGGGCTCCCCACCCCTCACTTTCCCCCCCAGGAATCCTGGGACCTCCTGCCTTTCAAGATCAGCTCTCCAAAGATGAAAATTCCTGGTGGGTGGAGAGAAGGATAGAAAAAGGAGTCATTCATTCAACAAATATTTATTCAGCACCTACTATGTGCCAGGCACTGTCCCAGGAACCTGGGAAAGGAGGGACCGGATAGCCTGGATCTGTCCCAGCTCTGGCTTTCTCTCCCAGAAACAAGGCCTACAGGGGGACAGGGTCTGAGGGGCATTTCAAGGGGTCTGAGGGACGCCCTTTGAGAGGTGGAAGGCCCAGGAGGCCTCCAGGAATGAGAAGCCTGGGGAGGCTCCACAGTGCCGTTCCCTGGGGTCAAGATGGGGGTGTGCAGAGAAGCTAGCTTCCCAGGAGCAGAAACACTGCAGGAGGCCCCATGCCCTCCGGCATCACCTCCTCTTCAGCACAGATATGCAGGACTTCTTGAGAGGCCCGATCTGCAGGTGGGCGTCCACACTCTCCAGGAAGAAAGCAGGCTTGAGCCTGCGAGTGAAGAGTCCTGCAAAATGGCCATCCAGGCGGCTCTGGAAGGGGTCGATGGAGGAGGCCAGGGTGCTGCTCCGGCGGGCCCTGGAGGCCTTCAACCTCCGAAGCAGGTTCATCTTGCCGTCCCGCACGGCGTAGAAGGCCAGGGCTCGGTCAGCATATTCTAGGCAGATCCCGACGGTGGGCGAGAAGGGCTGGGGCAGGGGTGCCTCGAGCCCGTGGAACCAGACGGAGAAGCTCCGTCCATTCCACTGCAGACAGCAGGAGTGGGCGTTGCGGCCCAGCCGGCCCCGATCATAGGGCTCTTGCGGGGAGAAGTCTTCGGCCATGACCCCCACGCTGACCCAGCCGTCGATGATCTCTACCTCCCAGTAGTAGGTGCCCCGGTCCAGGGCGCCCTCACCCAGCACCTGCTCGCAGTGGGTGAAGCGGGTGGGTGACTCAGGGTAGTTGATGGGACACAGCACCCTCTTTACACCTTTGGTCCCAAACAGCTGCAAGTACTTGTCTGCCGTGTCGCTGTCCAGGTCCACAATGTAGGCGACTGCTCCGGGGGACAGGAGAGAGACATGGGGCTCAGGGTTGGGGGCGGGTGGGATAGCCTCTCCGCCAGATGACCACCTCCCTCAACACAGCCCCCACCCCCCCGCCTTCGTGACCAGCACGACTCAGCCCCCCTGGAGAGCACCCAGTGAGCTGACCCAGTTCCCCCCAGAAAGAATGGGGTGGGAGGGGAGGGAGGGAATCCAAGCCTTTGTGCAGTAGGGCCCAGCCCAGCAGCCTCCGGAGGGTCTGGTGCGGGCAGAGGGGAGAGCCCAGGCGTCCACTTACACTTGAGGAAGTAATCCCTGGGAGCCTCACTCTCCACGTTGTTGGTGCTATCGGGGTCTTGGGACTCGGCATCTGCTGCAGAAGAGACAGGGGAGAGGTTCGCTCCAGCTGCCTGTGGCTGGGCAGGGATGCAAGGTGCTTCTCCCCTGAGCCTGTGACCAAAATCCCTCTCCTCCTGCATCCTCCCGACCAATACCTGGGCACAGGCACACACCCAAATATGGGACTCCGTCCTCACATGCAAGCCTGGTCCTTGGGTTCTGCCCCTGCTCCACCCCCTCCCCGCTCAGCCCCTCTGAAACTCAAGGGCAGGGCAGGAGGGGCTCCCTTGACCCCCTGATCCTTCGGGCTGTGGCCGCAGGGGCCGGATTGGTGGCTTCGCTCGCCAGTAGGAGTTGGGGCCCACCCTGTGCCAGGCACACAGTTTCCATCTTCCACTCCTGAACGGGTGCCAGGCCTGGGGCCCTGTGTGGGGAGACTGGGGAAGGGTGAGTCACTTGGGGGGCACCCACCTTCCGTGCCCAACTTCTGCAGCTCGTCTTCATCACCGCCCAACCCCCGCAGCTGCTCCCACTGGCTGGCACAGGCCGCCGTCAGCACATCTCTCACCGCCCGCACGGCTTGGGAGGATTTTGTGAAGCTGAGCTCCCTTGGGGGGCCGGGCCCAGGGCCGCACCCCTCCTCCAGGGCCAGCCTCAATGCCAGGAGCTCCTGTGCCAGAGAAATGACTAGTGAGGCCTTGCTGGTTCCAGCTCCTTGGGCTGTGGGGGAAGCCCTGTGGGACGATGGCACAGCCCCGGAGCCCAGGCAGCCCCGCCTGCCCTCCCCACTCCTTGCCTGACCCCCTCCCGTGCCCTCTCTGGCCCAGGAGAGCTGTTCTTACCTGCAGGAAGCTGACCGAGTCGGCCTCGGGGACCTGACTGAGGTTGTGGCGGGCCCGGCTCAGCCTACTGCGCTGTTCCTCCTGGCGCCGCAGGTCACCCTGGGAGCGGCCCAGCATGGTGGCCTCCCCCTCCTCGATGAAGCCCAGCACCTCTGCCTGGAAGCCCTGCAGGATGGCCGCAGCCTCGGTGAACAGTCGGCTCACCTTCTCCCGCTCTGCCAAGGCTGCGCTCTGCTCGGGACGACACAGGGGACAAGGATGAGGGCAAGAGCAGTGTGATTCTGGCCCCATCCTTCCCACCCTGCCCTCTTGCGGGGAGAGAGGGACCAGCCCCGGCTGTCCTGGATCTATGTGCCAGGTCAGAGGAGCCGCTCATGCTCAGCGGGACCAGACAGTGCCCTGCGCACAGGCCTCTTTGGAGAGGACCATAGGGTGCTACCAGCTCATTGCCAGGAGCCTGCTGCAGGACTGCATGGGGACAGGGTCAGCGTGGGGTCCGACCTTGATGAGGGCCACCGTGCGCCGGGACAGTGCAATGCCAGCGCCCAGCTCATCCATGCGATCCTCCACGGCACTCAGGACTTTGGATTGGTCCGCCTGTGGGTGATACCCTTAATCAGCATGGGGCCTGGCAGTGGCCACAGCCCTACTCTGGGCTACCAGGCCTCACCAAGGGGGAGAAGAGGGATGACCCGGGAGTGGTATGTGTGCACAGGTGAGACTGGGAGTGGCCATGACATCCCATAATACGCCAGAGGTGCTTGGAGCCCAGGCGGGTGCCATTCCCAAATGTCTGGGGATAGCACAGGCTGAGCAGGTTTGTGGGCTCTGTGCCTCGCCTCTCTGACCAATGGGCAAGCACAGGGCCATCCCTGCTCCTCAATGTTGCTGAACTCGCTGGAGAACTTCCTTCAGTGAGGACGAGGCAGAGAGAGTGGGGTAGGTGCTGCACAGAGGGCATTCAGCTGTCTCGGGGATCACTGTCCCCCAAGAGTCTGTATCCCCATTCCAGGCCTGAAAAATGGGGATTCCGGGCAAATCCCCTGGGTCTTATGAGTCACTGCTCCAGGCAGGAGAGACGGAAAATCCCAAGGCCAGAGGCGCCAAGACCGGGCTGGAGGCCAAAGGAAACTGGGGGTGGAGGTGGTTGACGGCCTGAGAGCACATGCTCCCTCCACGGCCCAGAACAGCTGGACAAGAGCGGTCTGTATGCTAGGTCCACCCTCTGCCACACTCCTGTCGCCTGCCACACCCATCTAAACCCGATGTCTCAGCCCAGGCCAAATGCGACCTGGGACCGCCAAGAACCTGGCCCAGCGCTAGGCGGCGGTGAGGCCAGAATCAGCAGGCGGGACCCCGCGGGCCCAGACCCCCGCGGGCCTGAGTGCTCCCTGTCACTGGACCGGGCTTCAGGCCCCTGCTTGCCCTTCCAGTCCTTCTCGGTTCCCTCTGGGCTCCTCCAACCCCCATTCCCAACTCGAGCAGAACGTCCCACAGCGAGTGGATGGATGGGTGACATTGTCAGTACTGGAAAGGACGCCAAAGGGCGTCAGGTTAGAGGGCATTAGGGCCCTACCAGGGAAGGGCAGGGGGCTGGATCCATGGCTCCCCCCACCCCCGCTCGGCCCTCGCCCGCCCTGGCACCCCCCCCCCCGCCCCCGCTGCCTGCGCCCACCTCCTGGAGCGCGCGCTCCTGCTCCAGCGGCACGAGTTCGTGGCCCCGGTGCTCCTGGGCGGCGCAGGCCTCGCACAGGCACACGCGCTCGGCGCGGCAGTAGCGCTCGAGCGGCCGCAGGTGGCGCGGGCACAGGCTCTCCTCCAGCCGGCGCAGCGGCGGCACCAAGCGGTGTCCGCGCAGCGCGGGGCTGCGGTCGTGCGGGCCCAGGTGCGCGGGGCAGAAGGAGGCGAGGCAGGAGAGGCAGGACAGCGCGGCGGGCAGGGCCGCGCCCTCGGGGCACGCGTCGCAGCGCACCGGCTCTTCGCCGCCGGGCCAGGGCTCGGGCGCGCAGGGAGCCGAGGGCTCCGGGGCGCTGGGCGGCGCGCTGGGCGGCGTGGGCTCCGGGGCCGGGGCCGGGGCCGGGGCCGGGGCCGGGGCCGGGCCGGGCCCGGGCGCGGAGCCCGAGCCCTGGCGGAGCTGCAGCAGCTCGGACAGCGTGTGGTTCTTGCGGAGCTGCAGGCCGTCGGGGAAGGGCTCCTGGCACAGCGGGCAGCGGGCCGCGCCTCCGGGCCCGCCGGTGCCACCCGCGCCGCGGTGCGGCCAGAGCGCGCCCAGGCAGGCCAGGCAGAAGTTGTGGCCGCAGGGCAGCGTCACCGGCTCCCGGAGCGGCTCCAGGCAGATGGGGCAGCCGAAGGGCCCGCTGCCGTCCATAGCTCCGCGGCCGCCCGGGCGCCGCCTGCTCTGCTCCCGCCCAGGGAGGGCCCCGGCCCGCGCGCTGCGGCCCCGCCCCCGGGACCCGGGCCAAGGGTCCAGCCCCCTTCCGTCCCCCGCTCGGCCCGCCCCCGGGGCCCGGGACACCGGCCCCAGCCCAGGCTGCGCGCGCGGCCCCGGCCCCGTGTGACCCCGAGGGGCCCCTGGACGACCGTGCGTCCCGGTCCAGGGGGAGGGCGGCACACTGGGAGGGAGCCGGGGGGAGGGGAGTGCACCCCCCCTCGGCATCCCTCATCCCCCCCTCAAGGCCGCCGCGGGCTCCAGACCTCCCCGCCGCCCTTGTTAGCAAAGTTCCTGAGCTGTTGAAAATGAACCGCTGATGTGCGCTTGTTTTTGCCCCTTAGCGACTCTATTCACCCCTGTGGGGAACTCGGGCTTTTCTAAACTTGAAACGGGAAGTCGATGTCACCCTCCCAGGCCCTTGTCTGAGATAATTCAGTTTCCCTCCAGGACCCTTGGGCGCAGGCACTTGTGCCTGGGGCTTGAGGTGTGGGCTCCCCGAGCGGAGGCATTTAAGGCTTGTCCAGCCATGCACTTAATAATGTTGTTTTTTAAAAAAATGGCAACAAAATAAAGTAGTATTGGCTTATAACCCAAAGTATAAAATAAACACCCGTGAGTGCATACTGATGTAAATAAATGACTGGGTAAATAAACAGAGGAGCACAGGCGAATCTCCCATTCAGAAGAATTCAAAGTAACTGTTATACATACTCCAAGATGGCCTAGTTTCCTACTTCTTAAACGTGGGCTGTGCACAGTGACTTTCTTCCAAAGGGAGCTAAAGAATCACTTTATAGGGATGCCTGGGTGGCTCAGCAGTTGAGTGTTGTGTGCCAGGATTGAGTCCCACATGGGGCTCCGGGCGGGGAGCCTGCTTCTCCCTCTGCCTCTCTCTCTGTGTCTCTCATGAATAAATAAATAAAATCTTAAAGAAAAAAAAAAGTCACTTTATAGTGGTGAAGCCTGGCAAGCAGGACCTCAGCCAAGTGATCAAGGTCACTGTCAATAGTGATGTCATGTTGACACTAAGCACCCTGTATAGGATGGTCTTCCTCTCCAAAACCCATAGCCCAGTCTAATCATGATTAAAACATCACACAAATCCCAGTGGAGGGACAGTCTACAAAATACCTGGCCAATACTCCTCAAAACCTTCAAAAAAATGGCCACACACACACACAAATAGTAGGGGGTCAAGTCTGAGAAACTGTCCCAGCCATGAAGAGCCTCAGTAGATATGATGAGTAATGTTATATGTGTTCTGGATGCATTTCTGAGACAGAAAAGACATTAAGGAAAAACTAGTAGGGAGATTTGAATAAATTATGGACTGTAGTTAATGTATCAATACTGGCTCTTAATTGTGACAAATGCACCATAATTATGTAAGATGTTAACAAAAGAAGAAGTTAGGAGGGAGGTATCTGGGAACTCTGAGTTATCTTTGCAAATTTTTTGTAGATTTACAATTATTCTAAAATTAAAAGTTCCTTAAAAAAATGGTCCCCCCCCCAGACCTCCTGCTGGCAAGAGTCCAAAGAGGAAGGAATAAAAGGGTGAGGAGGGGTGTTCCATCCATAAGTGGGGCTTAACCTTTCTCATCACACCGGAGCTCTTCTTAAAGCCTGGTGCAGCCTTTTCCAAAGTTATGCTTTTAAATGTACAAAACAAAATGCGCAAGATTCCATGGAGACTGATTATACTGAAATACAGGTACAAAATATTAAGAAAATAAATTTGTGATAGAGTTGTATGTATTTCTTTTTTTGAAAAAAATTAAAAGACGGTATGTATTTCTCTGACACACACACACACACACAGAGAGACAGAGAGCACAAGCAGGGGGAACTGCAGGCAGAGGGAGAGGGAGAAGCAGGCTCGCTGATGAGCAGGGAGCCAGACAACACGGGGCTTGATCCCAGGACCCTGGGATCATGACCTGAGCCGGAGACAGATGCTTAATTGACTGAGCCACCTAGATGCCCCATATGTATTTCTTTAACCCAATAAATAACAAATACTGATGGAGGCTAAATAATGTATTTTTGAAATAGTGATAAACATAAGTGATATTTGAGTTTCTCTGTCGCCACATAACGTGCTATGAAAATATCTGTAATTTCTGTTGGTGACAAGTTACAGAATTGCTAACTCCTCCGTAGTGTGTTCTCTCCATTTGTAATAGAAAGAAATGCTAAATTTCAGTTTAGAGAACAGTGAAAATACAGAGAATTTTCTCATCAAGACCCCCAGCTTAAGAATGTCTAATTTAGGGGCACCTGGGTGGCTCAGTAGTTGAGTGTCTGCCTTTGGATCAGGTCCTGGGATCGAGTCCCACATCAGGCTCCCCGCTGGGAGCCTCCTTCTCCCTCTGCCTATGTCTCTGCCTCTCTCTCTGGGTCTCTCATGAATAAATACATAAAATCTTTAAAAAACTGTCTAATTTAGAAAGATGCTATGCAGAGCTTCCTTATGTCTTTCCTGGAAGGAGGGAAGAAAACTAAGGTCTGTATAATATTAAATGAGGGGTGCAATCCTGGGGGACTCACGGGAAGGGGGGTGGATCATGGAGGCCGGTGTGGAGGAGGTGGCATCTGAGCTGGGCTTTCATGGGTTGCTAGGACTCAGGCGTGCAGAAACTAAGGCGGGAACAGATCTTGCAGCAGAGGAGTAGCAGGGGGAACCGGCCTGGGTGTGCCCAGTTTGGCAGGAAGACCGGTAATGAGTTCCATACGTTGGTTTCCACAGGGATCACTTCTTGATCATGACTGTCCCTTGTTTGCCAAGGCCCAGGAACAGTTCGGAGGCTCAGACATCAGCACCACCCTGCTGCCCGGCTGCAAGCCAGGCTGCCCGGGCTTGCGGAGACCACAGACCAGCCTGGTTCCGGAGGGGTGAGGGGTGCCACTTGGGTTGGGGAGTGTTCATAGACAGGTGCCGGCCGACCTTCTGCTCCCGCCCCAGAGCACCCCAGGGTGCATGCTCAGGAAGAGCCGCTTCCCCAGGAAAGCTCAGAGATGTGATTTGTCAAGACAGTGGTGTTTTTTTTTTTTTTTTTTTAAGACAGTGGTGTTTTAATACTTCATTTCCATTATCGGAGTTTTAAGGTTGCCTGACATGTTAATTCTTTTTGAAATGAATTGGCTCCTGAGGGGGAAAGGTAATGGGTGCTTTTGACGTCTGCAGGAACATGCTCACACCCGTATCTCACTCTGCCCCTGCAAGAACTATGTCATGAAGGATGGGAAATGGAATTCCAGCCGGTTGTGCATTTTGCCAGAGGTCACACAGCTCATCCTGTGGAGGGGGGAGAATTTAAACCCAGAAAAGTGTGACCTGAGAATAATCCTAAATCTCATATATGAACTTGTCTACATGGCTGGAGTATTCATTGAAAGGGGAAAAAAAGAAAGGCAAAACTGAAACAAAAGTGGGGATCCCTGGGTGGTTCAGTGGTTTAGCGCCTGCCTTTGGCTCAGGGCGTGATCCTGGAGTCCCGGGATCGAGTCCCACATCGGGCTCCCGGCATGGAGCCTGCTTCTCCCTCTCCCTCTGCCTGTGTCTCTGCCTCTCTCTCTCTCTCTCTCTGTCTTTCATGAATAAATAAATAAAATCTTAAAAAAAAAACTGAAACAAAAGTAAGCAAAAGCAGTCCAGAAACGGGAGTAATGAGCAAGCCATTCCCAGCCTCGCTTACATCTATGAAATTGAAATGGGATCCAAGCCAGGTTCCACAGTAGCACTGAATGGTTTTGATATATATATTTTTAAGTTTATCTATTTTTTTTTAGTAACCTCTACACCAAACGTGGGGCTAATGCATGACCCCAAGATCAAGAGTTGAATGCTCTTCCGACTAAACCAGCCAGGCACCTCGTTTTGACCTACTTAAAAGTTTTTTTTAAATTTGTATTCATTTCAAAATAATTGAGTTTACAAAGTAAACAATTTAATGAGGTTTATAACAGAGCTGGCAGTTGTGTGTCCCACCTACTCCAGAGGCCTGCTCCCGCGACCACCAGTTTCAACTCTTAACCATTTCTTTCTTTTTTAAAGATTTTATTTATTTATTCATGAGAGAGAGAGAGAGAGAGAGGCAGAGACACAGGCAGAGGGAGAAGCAGCCTCCATGCAGGGAGACCGATGTGGGACTCGTTCCCTGGTCTCCAGGATCATGCCCTGGGCCGAAATTGGCGCTAAACCACTGAGCCACCCAGGCTGCCCTCTTAACTATTTCTTTTGGCATTTACTTCCTCATCCGTAAACCCTGTGCTCATAAGCCTTGAACACGTGTGTGGATGTTTATGCTGGAGTTTCTGGAGACATCAATTCTCTATCACTTCTCTTCTGTGTTGATTACTTGTTGCTTGGGTCCCAGGTCTTCCTTCCCCTTCAATGACTTTACTTCTTTTTTTTTAATTTTTTTATTATTATTATTTATTTATGATAGTCATATATATATATATAGAGAGAGGCAGAGACATAGGCAGAGGGAGAAGCAGGCTCCATGCACCGGGAGCCTGATGTGGGATTCGATCCCGGGTCTCCAGGATCGCGCCCTGGGCCAAAGGCAGGCGCCAAATCGCTGCGCCACCCAGGGATCCCTGACTTTACTTCTTTACTTTGGAAGAGCACATCTTCTGGGGGATTCCTGAGGATGGATGTGAAAATGCCCACAAAAGTAATTTTTCAGGCTCCAACACCAACTGGCAGTTGGGCTGGGTATTGAAATCTCGAATGAGAATCCCTTGCCCTTAGGAAGCCTGACTCCACTGTCTTCTAGCTTCTAGGCCCATGGTACTTGAAGCCACACCTACAGCACCATGCTGCTCCCTCCATCCCTTCCTGCCTGGGGAACTCAAGCCTTCAACCCAACCCCCTCATCTCCCTGGACACCTAAGACCCATATCTTTTAACATCTCTCATGTCCCTCTGCCCTGCCTTATCCTGCCTGTGTGCCCATCGTCCTGATTCTGCCTCAGAGAAGCTCAGATACTAGAGCGGTGAGGCAGATATACTGGAAACACCTACAGGCTAATCTAGTGCCCTGCCCTTACAAATGTTACACCCCAAAGTCCATGCTCTTTTCCCCTCTTCCCAGTGTATTTTTCCCACAGAGGAGACAGACTTCTGTCAGAGTCAGGTGGATCAGGGGCATTTCATTTGAAGCAGCTCTCCAACAGATTTGCAAAGGGTTGCCCCACACCTACTTGAAAAACAATCTACAAAAAGGGCAGTAGCATCTCATCACATGTAGATAAACATGAAGGGTCACAATAAGGAACACTCCCACAGAACAGCACGGAAAGGACCAACAACCTGATAAAAGGTAGTATCATAGAATAAAGACCCCAAACCTTTTCCACCACAGAAGCAGAAGGGGGCTGTTCTTCCTTTCTCTCCCCCTTTCAGAGCATGGGCACAGCCAATGGGACGTGGACACGTGTGGGGCTTTGGGATGGCGGGAGGTTGGTTGTGGTGGTGATGGTTAGACTCTACATGAGGGCAGCCTTCGATGCCAGGGGCTGGGCCAGCCCCATCCTGATTCCTCCCCTGCTGGATCTCTCAGCAACTGTCAACCCACCTGCCCAGCAGTTCTCCCCATCTGGCTGTCTGGTGCCAGAGCCCCTGCCCCATGTTTGCAGAGTCCCCAACTTAGGAGTCTTCTTAGAAGCTCTTTGCCCAGGGTGTACTGGTCAGAGGCCTGGCCCCACCCTTGAACAGGGAGCTACAGGCTGGGAAGGTAGCTGCAGGATTGAATGTGGGGGGCTGGCACCAGGTTACAATATGGGAAAGAGATATATTTTTCACAAATACAAAAAAAATCTATATTTTAAAATATTTATTTATTTATTCATGAGAGACACCCAGAGAAGCAGAGACACAGACAGAGGGAGAAACAGGCTCCATGCAGGGAGCCTGATGTGGGACCTGATCCCGGATCCCAGGATCACACCCTGAGCCAAAGGCAGACGCTACACTCAGGTGTCCCTACAAAAATATTTTGTATTTTTTTGGAGTATGTGTTTTTGCATGTGTCATCCTTTAAAAAATTTATTGTTTATGAAAACATAAAAAATAAAGTATTGTAAAATAATTATTCCTGAGTATATAAAACATACATGTACAGCATAAATAGTTATAAGGCCAACATCCTTGTAACCACCACCCAGGTCTAGAAGTGGAATGGTTTTTTTAAAGTTGAATCTTTTTAAAAGATTTTATTTACTTATTCATGAGAGAGACAGAGAGAGAAACAGGCTCCATGCAGGGAGCCTGACCTGGGACTCGATCCCGGGTCTCCAGGATCACACCCTGGGCTGAAGGCAGTGCTAAACCGCTGAGCCACTTGGGCTGCCCAAGAAGTGGAATGTTTTAAGTAACAAAATTACAGCTGCCTTAGGTCCCAGCAGCACCAGTTCCAGAAACACAAATGCCCGTCCAGGGATCTTCAGGAAAGCATCTCCTGAGTAGCAAAAACAAAGGAAGCCAGCACTGTCCTGGCACCTGCACTCATCACTGCATTTAATCCCCACACCCTGGGTAGGGGTGACAGGGGCTGAGGCTGTGTCCAGCTAAGCTGGCTGGTGGGGGTGGGGTGGGGAAGAGTCCGCCTGACTCAAGGTTGCTTCATTTTGGCCATTTGTATAAAAATAAAATCTTCAAGTGCTCATTATTATTACTTTTAAAGATTTTATTTATTTAAGGGGGTAGGGGCAGAGGGAGAGGAAGAGAGTCTTAAGCAGACCCCTCACTGAGTGTGGAGCCCATAGGGCTCCATCTCATGACCCTGAGATCATGACCTGAGCAGAAACCAAGAGTCAGACGCTCAACCAACTGCACCACCCAGGTGTCCCTCATTTTTTTTCGGTTGAGGAACTCCGCTGGGAATTCCACCTACATATGTAGCCATGGATATGGCCAAAGCTTCCTGCTCAAAAATATGCATCGCGGTGACATTTTTACAGCCCCAAATAAAACAACTGGAATGTTCAATATGAAATCTTTCATGAGCAAAAACAGCACACTGGGACGAGCATCCCTGGCTCTTCCAAAAGTTTGCGGCGCTGCCACTGTGCTTTACAAAAGACCTACAATCGTACCTCTTTTCATGAACCAGAAGAAACTTGAAACCACACCAATATAGGTCTTTTAAAAAAGCTAAGTGGCAGAACTTGAACTTTTGGAAAGTGGAAGATGCCCGTAGTGGGGAAGTAAATTCTAATAGTCCTTGGAAAGACTGTTTATATTGCAGTGGTGCAGGAAAAAATATTAATCCCGTGAGAAATGGCTATGCTAGATAACAGAATGCAAAAAACACAAGTGTTTATAAAATGCAATCACAAGGATGTATAAGAGACTAAAGTGTATCAAACTGTTAAGAAAAAAAAAGAGGGAGGAAAGAGATAAAGATCACTTTTCTCTAGGTTTCTTCCAGAATTGCTTGTGCTTTGGGTGCCCTCGCCTCCTGCCAAATGCCTATGATCTACGTCACCCGCATGGGAGGCAAGCGGCTGCGGGGTGTTTGCATGGCAGCGTGGGTGAGGCCCCAACTGCACAAGCTCTCCTGCAGCCCCAGGAGCCCACAGGCGCTGCACCCACCTCTGAGGCCCAGGCAGCGCCGAGAAGTGCGCTCTCCTCAGGCAGGGTCCTCATTTTAGTCCCTTCCTAGTCCCTGTGCCCTTCCATGATGTTGGAAAAAGTGAACTCCATTTTGGGGGCATCCTCCCAATCTCTCTTCCCAAGTGGTCCGGCCTCCTTCTGAGTCAATCTTGTGGCCAAAAGCTGGTCCCATTATAGCTGTGGCCTCAGGCCCCCAAGCTAGGGACTGGGCAGCTCTTGGGCACACAAGCACGGTGGCACCTGTTCCTGGCCCAGAGCTTCATCCTGTGCCTTCCTCTGCTGGGCTTGAGGCCTCTTCCTGGAGCTCTGGAGGGAGCTTGGCCTGAGGCCGATGGCACAGGGTGAGGGTCCTACCCTCCAGGAGCCAGAAGACAGGGTAGAGGGGCTGGGTGAAGATGGCATGGAAGGTATGCAGAGGCTGGGCCTTGGGTTCCAGGCTGTAGAAGGTGAGGCAGCCAGAGGCCAGGTCCAAATCCATGCCCAGGAGCCGCCCTGACACTCCTGGGAGGTGCTGGGCCTCCCCGTTATGCCAAGCCTGCGCCCTGTCCTCCTGAACACAGAGCCCCCAGGAGCTTGGCCCACGCCCAATGTTGTCTGTGTGGGGCCCCTGCTTGCGTCGCGTCAGTTCTGGATAGGCGACACCCAGGGTCACTGAGTGGTTAGATGCACGCACCTCCCAGTAGTGTCGCCCGCTCCGGAAGCTCTGGGCACACTGCACCTGCCAGAGCTCGAAGCTGCTTGGCCCGGCCAGGTCCCGGGGCTTGTGGCGGTGCTTTACCTGCTGGTCCTGCCGAGACAAGTAGAGGTGGCAATTGGCGCTGTCTGGATCGAAGGTCAGATTTCGATAATCTGTCAGGACAGAGGGATGGAGGTGAGCGGGTGGACACCTGTGCACATCCACCATCTTGTCCCCAGAGGGAGAGATGGCAACTGAAGCTCCAGCAGGGCCAAGCCACACATCTGTTGGGTGTACGGCAAGCAGACCAAGCACCGGATGTCACCACAGCAGGTAGCCTGCGAGGGGGACCTCTTCCGTTTACCTCATTTCAAAGATGAAGAAACAGGCTTCCCAAGATAACCTAACTTCGTAACAAGTGGAAGAAGCATAAGCGATCCCAGGTTTTCGTGCCCAGAATCTCCTTACCCCCGTATCAGTTCCACGTGTAAGAGGCTTACAACCTGTGACAGATGTGCGGGGAGGGGGGGCCAGGCCAGATCCCAGGAAGGGCAGGGCAGTCCCAGCACACGCCCCCCGCGCCCCCAGGTACACACACAGCCACACAGACCTGTGCAAATGCTCACACGCACACGTAGACACACGAACGCACAATGCACACATGCGTATGCACACACACACACGCCAGTCTCCTTACTCTGCCAGAGTTTCCTCCTCAGTGGACACACTGGGCTTGGGACTGGTGCCAGGGGACCTGGGGCCTCTAGGAGGCAAAGAAGTCTTAGGGCAGTGATGGGGAGCAGAGCTCATGGGGGCAGAGTCCTGATCCTGTTCCCGTGGGCCGTGGGAGGGCCGGCTGGGCCCAGAGGGGTAGGGAGGGATCAGGGTGAGCCTTACCCACGGGGCCCAAATTGGCGGCCTCCGCTGGTGCCCTGCGGGGGCCCCCCTCATCTAGCAGGAGGCCACACAGCCGGCTCAGAGACTCTTTCAGGCTGGCCAGCCGCTGCTCTCCGTCCCACCGCAGAGGAGTCAGAGGCCTGAGAGGCTCCGGGGGTGCCAGGAGCTGGGATTCCTGGGCCCCAGGGACAGCCACAGTGAGCTTTTGGGTAAGGTGCTGGGACGCCATCCCCCAACCTGCTGTCCTGGGGCCTGGTACCTGGAGGAAGGTCCGGTCATCCAAGTGTTCCAGGACGTGTCGGACCCTGCGGTCATAACGAGACAGGGCTTCCAGGTGGCCCCGCAGTTGTTGTTCTGTATCCTGGGCCTGCGCTAGGGCCTGTGTCTTGGCCGCCTTGATGTCCTCCAGGGCCAGGGCCTGTCGCATCTCCAGGGCCTGGAGCAGGCAGCTGAACTTGCCAGAGATGGCGGAGGCCAGGGTATGGGCTGAGCTCTGAGTGGGTGATGGAGTTGCCTCGGGTGGTCAGGGCCAAGGCTGCCCTTGGACTGAGGGGTGGGGATGTGGGGAGCAGGGGCCCCTGTGACCTTCCCCCCCAACTCTGCTCAGTCCATCTTTCCCTGTTGCCAGGAGGCATTTTCAAGGCAGCTCACACCTCCTACCCAGCGTCCCAGGGACCCACTGCTGGCTGCCTGAAGGACACAGCATGAGGATGTAGTGGGGGTCAGACAGGCCTCGTACCTGGATCTGGCTGCTTTGCCGCTGCAGTTCCTCTAGCTGGCTCTCGGCCTGGGTGGCCTGCTGCTGGGTGACCTCCAACATGGCTCTCAGCTGGGCCTGTGGTGCCCACCAGGGAACAAGTGACAAGAGGGGACTGGGAATGGCTGTGAAGTCCTCCCCTCCATCAACAAACACCTGCAGATGTGGGACATCCCCCTCCTTGTGCCACCCCAGGCAAAAGACTGACCAGTGGACCAGCCCACAGAACAGTGGCCTTGGTCTGAGCCTCGGGGTGAACTGGGTCAGAGTCCCAGGGAGACCCAGACAAAGCCCATTCCCAACCTGGAACAGGGCGGTACACAGGCAGAGCAGAGGCCTGGGGCTTTAAACCTGACCTTCAGTTCATCTTGCAGGCTGAGGAACCTGGGGCACAGCACCCACCATCTCTGGGCTATAAACCCACCCCAGGGCAGCCCGGGTGGCCAAGTGGTTTAGTGCCACCTTCAGCCCGGGGTGTGATCCTGGAGTCCCGCATCGGACTCCCTGCACAGAGCCTGCTTCTCCCTCTGCCTGTCTCTCTGTCTGTCATGAATAAATAAAATTCAAAAAAATCTTTAAAAAAAACCAAAACAACCCACCCCACACTACCCCCAGCCAATAAACGGTGGAAGCAGTACTTCTGGCTTAGGCAGCCTTGCAGGGAAGGGGCAACAACTCAAAGCACCAAAGCTATTTGACCAGCGGGCAGTGTAGTACGTGTGTCTGCATGGGTGGGTTCTTCCAAATACCCAGTCAGGCCTCAGCCCCAGCTCTGGGCATGGGGTAGAAGAGGGCACCCATATTTGTGACTCCTCTGGCACCCGTGAGGGTCACAATGTTGTGCTTTCATGGGAGCAGGGCAAAGCATCATTCCCTGCCCCTGGTCAAGAGCCTGCCTTGCTTCTGCTTCTTCCAGCTGCACTTGACAAAGAGATCAAGGGCCATCGTGATCCCCACTTTACAGATGAGAAAACAAGACAGAGAGACTGACAATCTGGCCAAAGGCATCAGATCTTCCAAAGCTCAATTCCTGTGTCTTTGCCCAGGACCCAAGGCCTCAGCGTTGTACAACGTGCCACACCCAGGAAGTGGGACAGGGACGCGCTCTGCTGGTTCCATCTGACTGTCCCCCAGGATGGCCAGGGGTCCTCTCACACCCCATAGAACTTCACCCCGCTCTAGGGGAACACGAGCTCCTTCGGTGTGTACGTGCCATCTGCCTGTGCCACCTGCCACTCCCTCCCTCCTGCTGCTGTCACCTGCTGCCCGGCACTGCACTTTCATGCTCCGCCTCAGCACTAACAACTCATCCTCAGTCTCTGACTTCTGAAGCCACGATGGAATCCTCCAGCATTGGCTCCGGACTCCCTGACCTCCTCACCCGCAGAACCTTCACTCCATTTCAGCCACTCAGGCCTGGGGTCTCACCTTGGGCCTGTCACCAGCTCCGAAATCTCTACTCCAAGCACCTGTTTTGTCCTTTTACTCGGGAATACAACAAACGTCCCAAAGCCTTCTCCTGCTTAAGCAGCCCGCCCCAGCCCAGGCGCCGAGAGACAGGGCGGGGCACCCCGGTGTCACCTCGCGCTCCCGACGCTCGACGTCCAGCAGCGCCCGCTCGTGGAGGCGACACTCGTTCACGGTGCACGCGCTGCAAACGCAGAGACCCTCGGTGCGACAGAAGAGGTCGAGTGGCCGCCCATGTCGGGGGCAGCGCGCGCCCGGGCCGGGGCCAGGGGCTGGGGCGGCGCCGGGGGTCGCGGCAGGGTCGGAGCCGGGGGCCGGGGCGGGCCGGGCGCGCATCACCTCGAGCACCGCGCTGAGCGCCACATTTCGGCGCAGCTCGGCGACGTCGGGGAAGGGCTCCCGGCACTCGGGGCACGCCTTGTCGCAGCGGCCCCCCCAGTCCCGGATGCAAGCCCTGCAGAAGTTGTGGCCGCAGGGCAGCGTCACCGGCTCCTGGAAGAGCCCCAGGCAGATGGAGCAGGTCAGCTTGTCCTCTAGCCCGTGCGCGGCCATGGCGGCAGCGGCGCCTCAGGGCGCGCGGGGCGGGGCCTCCGAAGGCGGGCGGCGCGGGGCACGGCTCGGGGGTGCGGCCTGCGGGAGGAGGGGCGGTGCAGGGGCGGGGCCTCCGGAGGTGGGCGGTGCGGGGCACGGCTCGGGGGCGGGGCCTGCGGGAGGAGAGGCGGTGCCTCCGGAGGTGGGCGGTGCGGGGCACGGCTCGGGGACGGGGCCTGCGGGAGGAGGGGCGGTGCCTCCGGAGGTGGGCGGTGCGGGGCACGGCTCGGGGTGCGGGGCCTGCGGGAGGAGGGCGGTGCAGGGGCGGTGCCTCCGGAGGTGGGCGGTGCGGGGCACGGCTCGGGGGCGGGGCCTGCGGGAGGAGAGGCGGTGCCTCCGGAGGTGGGCGGTGCGGGGCACGGCTCGGGGACGGGGCCTGCGGGAGGAGAGGCGGTGCCTCCGGAGGTGGGCGGTGCGGGGCACGGCTCGGGGGCGGGGCCTGCGGGAGGAGGGGCGGTGCCTCCGGAGGTGGGCGGTGCGGGGCACGGCTCGGGGTGCGGCCTGCGGGAGGAGGGGCGGTGCAGGGGCGGTGCCTCCGGAGGTGGGCGGCGCGGGGCACGGCTCGGGGGCGGGGCTTGCGGGAGGAGGGGCGGTTCAGGGGCGGGGCCTCCGAAAGTGGGCGGTGCCGGGCACGGCTCGGGGGCGCGGCCTGCGAGAGGAGGGGACGGCGCAGGGGCGGGGCCTCCGAAGGCGGGCGGTGCGGGGCACGGCTCCGGGCCGAGGCCTGCAGGAGGGGCGGTGCAGGGGCGGTGCCTCTAAACGCGGGCGGGTCGCGACCTGCGTGAGAAGGCGGGGCGGGGCGCCTCCGGGAGCGGGAGGGGGCACGAGGCGTCGGGGTGGCGGGGAGCAGCGTGGGCCCGCCTAGCGGAGGAGAGCAGCTGTTGCCTCTCCCCCACCCGCGCCTGGGCCCTTGCCACGCGTGCTTGCTCCCCTCTGCCCAGGCTCTGAGCCGTCTCATGCCACCCCAGGATGGGGGTTTGAGGTCCGGGTAGTCCCGGTGGCCCCGCTCTGGGAGCTCCATCCCGCTTCTCGAAACCCTCATTAAGCAGCTCCCGTGCAGGGGTGCGGCCCCCGCCTCCAGGGATGGGAACCTTTGGGAACCTTCTGGCTGAGGGCCCCCACAGAACCCCTTCTGGGCCCCTCATCCGTAACCTGGACAACAGTAGCTACTTCCTAGGGTTTGCGCCTGTCAGTAAGAGCACTGAGCACAGAGCTCATGTTCCCTATACGCTCCGGACCCGAGGTTCTCTGCTGCCCTTTTCCTTGAGCTGTTTCAGGCATTTGCCAGATTGGAGTGTCTCCTTTCTGTAGGCTACCACATTTTGGTTCTTTTATTTATTTATTTATTTTTTTCATTTTGGTTCTTTTAAAGTAAGCTGTGTTCGGGGACGCCCGGGTGGCTCATCAATTAAGCGTCTGCCTTTGGTTTAGGGCGCGATCCTGGAGTTCCCGGATCAAGTCCCACATCAGGCTTCCTGCATGGAGCCTTGCTTCTCTCCTCTGCCTATGTCTCTGCCTCTCTCATGAATAAATAAATAAAATCTTAAAAAAAAAACTAGAAAAAGCACATATTAAAAAAAAAAAAAGTAAACTGTGTTCTGGTCACCAACACAGAAACCGATCAACGGTTTTCATACCCCCCTTTACTGAAAGCCCAAAGCGACATTCAGCTGTTCTTGGAATCTTCTCCGTGTGGGCCCCCTGCTGGGGAGTTCCTTGTTTGCAGGAGGGAGCTCTTCTGGAAGCCTGGGATCCTCCGTCCCACCTGCCCTGGGGCAGTGTGCTGCATCGGACTGAGCAGATGGAGGGCTAATTTTCCTAACCAACCTGTCCTAATTTTGAGGCAGAGTGCCCTCTCACTGCAATGCAGCATTCACTCTTCTGTGTTGTAGTATGGGAAGCTCCTCTTCATGGGAAAGGAAGGTCTCCTTTTGACTGGTTAGGCAGAGGAGAAATCATACTCCTAGGATCCAGCAAGGGTGCAGGGGATTTCTGGGCCCCAAGGAGAGGTGTGCCCAGAGGTCTGAGACCTGCTTCTCATTCAAAGCATCCCAGCCAGATGCCAGGAGCCTGCCACCATGCTGTGAATTCCCAGTAAGGGGCCAATGCTCATGTATGGCAAAGCTCTTTCTAGAGACATATGGGAGCAGCCAAGCCCCACTGCCTTTCTTCTGTATCCATCTCCAGCCATTTGATCCCAGGGCTCAATATTCTCTAGAGGCAGAAATGAGGTGGGAGGCAGGGCTCTTTCCATCCATGAAGCATTACAGATTCATCATGGGGTTGGAGCATTTCCAGAACACAGACCCAGACCAGCTACAGAAAAAAAATCATCTTTATTCACATGTCCCATTCCTGCCACTATCCTCAGAGAGGTCTCTTCATTTCCAAAGCCTGGGCCTGAGAAGGCCACAAAGGGGCTGCCTCAGGCAGGGGCTAGAGCCCAGAGTGTGGCCCAGTGGAGTGGTCTTTATTGTTCCTGCTGGTGAAGCCTGAGAGGCTCAGTCCACTTTGAGGTGGGTGGCACTCTGGCCACTCAGTAGATGCCGTAGGTGGGTTCGTGACTGTCCCTATACCGGTCCAGGTAGCGCAGGGGCTGCCGGTGGGGGAAGCGCTTCTGTTTGGGGTGGTAAGAGGGTGGCCGCACAAACTCAAACACGGGCTCCTGCATGTCTGTAGGAAGAGGGGGTATGGGTGTGAACTGCTGCTGGCCTGCGACTGCCCAGCCACCCACCCAAGAAATGGCATGCTTCCCAGGGGCACTTCTCCCTGGCAGGTCAGGAGAGTTCTGTGAGCTCGGGCCAGCTGCCCCTGCCCTGTCCCCCAGCCCACTCTGGCCTTACCCAGAAGCTGGTGGAAGATGTGGGTCACTGAATCATCCCAGCGACACTGGAAAAAGGCCAGCCCAGCTGGTGTCATGGCTTCCTGGTGCTTCTTGTAGAAATCAAAAGTGCAGAAGGTCCGCTGGGCCAGCTGGTAGCTATAAGATGAGGAAGTTTTAAGAGCAAAGAATGAGACATCAGAGCCCCACACCCCTCCTCCAGCCCCATAGGCAATCCTAAGAAGCCCCTTAGGATCTGCCTAGCATAACTCCCTCAGCCCATCTCAAGCTGAAATTAAGAGACAGGACAACTGAGCACAACAGACCATTCCTGGGGAGGTGGCCTGAGAGGGCAGAGGGAATGTGTATGGGGGGCTACAAGGTTAAGGGGGCATATATTACCAGGGTGAGGGCCGGGTGTCCTCAGAGAAGTCAACTGGCTTATCCTGCTTAAAGAGCAGGAAGGCAAAGCGGTGGAAGCCGGAACCTCGGGCAGGGAAAGGGGGCATGTAGGGACAAGTCTCCTGTCCTTCAGCCACACTGTTGCCTGGGATGTTGGTTCTGGTGGGAGGAAAAGTGTCCGTGAATTATCACTCAAGGAAGGTGGCAGCAGAAACATTCCCATCTACATTTTCCCTAGATATTGATACCACTCCCTGGGAGGACAAACCCTAAAATGATCTTCATTCAATAGTCAAGCAGGAGGCATGGCTCTGTGAACCCTCGGATAGACTACAAACTTATGAAGGGAACAGTAGGGGCTCAGAGGCTGAGAATGGGGGTCCTAGAAATGGTCAGGAAGAGAGTAAGGTCTAGCAGCCTGTTTACCAGGCCACAGGGAGCTGGTGGGGTCACCATAGCTATTCAGGCTACAAAGCCATACCACTTGGGCTGCATCTCTCTTTACTGAAGGTTCTGGGGTCTGTCAAGGAGTGTTTGCCAATCCCGACACTACGATGGCCACTGTACCTGCCCTAGATAGAACTCTCTGTGGGGGTCCTGCTGCACAGATTGCTAACTGCAGTTGACTAAAAATGATGGAAACCAACCTCCCAGTCACTGGCTCCAATTACCTAGAAGTTCTAAAGCTAGGGTCAGCTGCCTGACCTCTGCCCCCCTGGCTCCAGAGCCAAAGGCCACAGAGAAAACAAAAGTAGCCCAGCATGGGCAGTCCCAGCTGCTAGAGGCCTCCACCATCCTTTTCCTATCTATACTGTCATAGAGCCCCTCAGGGTGGCTAAGGCATGGCGTGGCATCACCCTAGTTTTATAGATTAGGAAATGAATTCCCAGAGACCAAGAGGCCTGTGGGAACAGCTAAAGCCTACTGCCTCGTTTTTCTTCCGGACCTGTCTTCAGCCAGTGGATCACAGGCCTCTTGACAGCATCAGGAAGCAGAGGTGAGGGGCTGCCACCTGGGGTGGGAGGTTAATCAAAAGTTCCATAGTTAATCCACAGTGGAGCCGAGACTGAAATTCTGGTGCAGCCCTCTCCAGGATACCAAGGCCTCCTTTTTCTTTTTTTCTCTTTTCTTTTTTTTTTTTTTTTAATTTTTATTTACTTATGATAGTCACAGAGAAAGAGAGAGAGGCAGAGATAGGCAGAGGGAGAAGCAGGCTCCATGCACCGGGAGCCTGACGTGGGATTCAATCCCGGGTCTCCAGGATTGTGCCCTAGGCCAAAGGCAGGCGCCAAACCGCTGCGCCACCCAGGGATCCCTCTTTTAAAGATTTTATTTATTTATTCATGACGGGGGGGTGGGGGAGAGGTGCAGAGACATAGGCAGAGGGAGAAGCAGACTTCATGCAGGGAGCCGGACACGGTACTCAATCCGGGGTCTCGAGGATCACACCCTGGGCTGAAGGCGGCGCTAAACCACTGGACCACTGGAGCTGCCCCCAAGGCCTCCTCACATGCCTCTGACCTCTTCCCCCATCCCAGGTACTTACACCAGCCAGTGGACGTATTCAGCATCTGGCTCCAGCAAGTGTCCATCTGCACACAAACAGACCCTAGTAACTGCCGGGTCCTGCTGCCCTTCCAGCCTGGCTCCACCCCTGGCTCCCCAGAGCCCTGGCTCCTGGGAGGTGAGGGAGGTAGGAGGTACCTACCCAAGTTGGTGAGCCCTAGGTACCTACCCAAGTTGGTGAGCAGCAGTGTCCACATGGAGCCCTTGTCTGCCTCATAGGTCACCTCTGGGGCCTGGGCAGCCTGGTGGGGAAACAACATGAAAGGTGCCACCCCTATCAGGGACAGACAAGCTGCTGGAAATAGGCCTTCTTTCTGGAGGACAGGAGTCTGAGGGAGCTTTGGAGAAGGGAGAACCCACCCTGATCCAAATGTCCCTGACAGTCCCTTGAGGGGCAGGTCAGCAAAAAGAAGCTTATAGAAAGATCCCTGCAGAGTTGCCTAGCCAGCTCTCTATCTGAACCATGAGGTGGCCCTCACATCAATGGACAAGGGCTAGGAGGGTACTCTGATTACAACGGGGTAGTGGCAGGAGTGTGCCAAGATGGACCTTCTTTTCCCTTCCTCTCATATTCCTTCCTAATTAGCATGGTGGAGTTTAGCAGGAAATCCAAAGGGAGAGAAGACAGAGAAGAACAAAACCCCAAACAAGCCTACATGGATGCCAGGCTTGTGCCCTTAACCACCATAAAAACCTCCTCTGTGAGTGTTTCAAGGAGTTGTCTGTGGTTCTGTGGTGGAATATGTCCATATACACAGTGCAGGGAGGGGCTTGCGTAAGCAGTTACCTCTGCTGGAGTGACCTCATTGCCGTGGTACACGGGCATCAAGTCATCCTCACCCACAGCATAGGCCACATGCAGGGGGACTCGGGGCACGAAGGTGGCACCATGGAACAGATCTCGATAGAGGCCGTAGTATTCAGCCAGACGCTGCTTGTGGTAGGGGCCACAGGTCTTTTCCCACTCGGCCCGCACAGCCTCCATCGGGATGCGTGCTGGTAAGGAATGATGCCCGTTAGGATGCTGGGGTGGGGCAGGGACACAGCAGGGGGGGGCCTCTGCCCTGGGAGGGCTTACCTGTGCCGAGGCGGGCAGCGCGTTCCTCCTCTGAGTTGGCCCGCAGCTCCCGAAGGACCCGTTTCCGCTCCAGCAGCTGTTGGGTCCGGCAGACCTTGGGTGGGGGCAGCCCAATGTCAATCTTGTCTTTGGGATCTGGGGAGGAAAGTTATGT